ACCTTGGCTCCATTAAGCATATCTAACATATCATCGAGCCTATGTATGAGAAATCGGTACTTGATTGTAATTTTGTTGATTGCCCAACTGTCCACGCACATCCTCCATGACCCATTTTCTTTTGAACAAGTTTTTGATGTGTTAAGGAAGGAATCACTTATTGTGAATTTCAAAAAATGCTCATTTATGATAAACAATGTCATCTTTCTGGGGTATGTTGTTTTATCCGAGGGAATTAGGGTGGATCAAGAAAAAGTAAAAGCCATAATTGAGTGGCCGGTGCCAAAGTCACTCACTGAGGTGCGTCCATTTCATGGCCTAGCGACCTTTTATCGTCGATTTATCAGAAAGTTCAGCAATCAAATAGCACTAGTGACTAATTGTATGAGGGCTGGAAAGTTTTCATGGATCCCGCTGCCGAAAGATTGTCACTCTAATTAAACAAAAGATGATGCAAGCACAAGTACTCGCCTTACCAGCTTTTTCTAAGGTGTTTGAGATTGAAACTGATGAATCAAATGTTGGCATAGGGGCAATTTTAAGTTAAGAGGGACGACCATTGGCCTTCTTTAGTGAGAAATTAAATGATGCACGTAAGAAGTATCAGTTTATGACCTCGAGTTTTATGCAGTGGTGCAAGCCTTATTTATAACCTCGAGTTTTATGCAGTGGTGCAAGCCTTACGCTACTGGAGGCACTACCTGATTCATAGAGAGTTTGTTTTATACTTAGATCATGAAGCACTCCGGTATTTGAGTTCTCAGAAAACGTTGAATGCGTGACATGCTCAGTGGATGGCCTTCCTTCAAGAATACGCCTTCTTATTAAAGCACAAGGCTGGAACCCAAAATAAGGTAGCTGATGCTTTAAGTAGAAACGTAGTGATGCTTAGAACTTTGTCTATGGAAGTGTTGGTGTTTCAAGTGATAAACGATCAATATAAAGTTCATCCAATTTTCAGCAAGGTCCTTGAAAGGTGTGTTGATGGGCGAAACCCTATGGGTGAGTATCTCGTACATGATGGTTATTTATTAAAAGGTGTGCAGTTATGTATACCTGATTGCTCCCTAAGGAAGAAGATAATCATGGAGCTTCATGGTGGGGGCTTGGGTGGACACTTTGGGAATGACAAAACTATGGCTATGGTTGGGGAAAAATATTTTTGGCCACGTATGCGACGAGATGTTGATTGATTAGTGACCCGATGTCGAACTTGTCAAGTATCTAAAGGTCACACATAAAATACAAGTCTTTATACTCTTTTTCCTGTTCCAGATGCCCCATGGGTTGATATTTCTATGGATTTTGTACTTGGACTTCCACGTACCACAGGAGGTATGGACTCTATTTTTGTTGTTGTTGATCGATTTTCCAAAATGACACATTTCATCCCTTGTAGAAGAACTATGGATGCTACACATATCGCAAATCTCTTTTTCAAAGATATTGTAAAGCTGCATGGTGTTCCTAAGTCTAGTACATTTGATTGGGATACAAAGTCTTTAAGTCATTTTTTACGCACTTTATGGAAGTACATGGGAACCAAACTTCAATTTTCTAGTGCCTATCATCCTCAAACAAATGAGCAGACCGAAGTAGTGAATAAGAGCCTTGGTAACCTCTTGAGAAGTATTGTTGGTGATAACATATCTCAGTGGGACCTCGCTTTTCCTCAGGCTGAGTTTGCTTACAACAGTTCAATAAATCGATCTATAAAAAAATCACCATTTGAGATTGTTAATAGGCGGACGCCTAATCGTGTGTTGGACCTAGTGCCATTAGTCATGCCAAACAAGATAAGTGATGATGCCAATGCTATTGCTGAGCCTATTCGAGATTTGCAAGCCCAAATCAAGAAGAAAAGTGAGGAGAGCAATGCAAAGTATCAAAAAGCCTCAAATGAGCATAAAGAGAGAAGATTTTCAAGGAGGATGACTTAGTGATGGTGTATTTGTGAAAGAAAAAGTTTTTGTTGGGAACCTATGATAAACTCAAGCCCAAGAAAATCCTTGCCGCATGGGAACAATGCATATAAGTAGAATTACCAAAGGCATTGGATATCTCCCTGATATTTAATGTTGCTGACTTATTTGAGTTTCACGAAGACCCTCTAGAAGTCGCAGAAGATGTAATTCATGTGATGAAAAAATTACCAAGGAAGAAAGATGATGAAATTGAGCAAGTTTTGAAGACTAAAAGCTTTCAAACTCGAAAGAGTTCCTATTGCCAATTTCTAACCAAATGGAAGGGCAGGTCATACTCTGATAGCACGTGGATTTATGAGCCAGAGTTCAAAAGAGTGGATCCAGACTTATATCGCATATATACTGAAGCCAACTCGTCGGAATCGAGTTCCTTTCAACTGTGGGGGAATAATGTAGCCATGCCCCTTCGTGACTGGGCCGAAGAAGGGTCACAGAGCCCAAGAGGGAAAGAAAGGGTAATGACATAATAAGGGGAAATTATTAGGGTTATTTATTAAGATTATTTTAATTATTCTTTTGTTTAGAGAGTGCGCAGGGATAATTTGCAAGGCGACTTTAGAGTTTATATTGTGTTTATCTTGTATCAATTGGGTTAGTTTGATAGATATAATTAGGATAAGGATAAATTTAGAAGAGAGTTTATCTTTATCAACAATAACCAGCTTGGGAGGTCTTTTTGGGATAAAACTTGAGAGGGAAAACGTGGCTATCTAGAAGCCCGTGGATATAAGAGAGATAAAATAGGGATAGGTGTAGAGAGAAGCTTTTTATTAGTTATCTTATTTTAGTCTATTTAAAGGGACATCTCCTTTCATTGTAAATCAGTCTATAAATTGATTAAAAATTGGGCTCTTGAAAGAGATTGTTTTGGAGGTGGATTCCCTTGCAGACTTTTGAGAGAGGGTATTTTTCTCTTAACCTTCCTTCTTTTTATTGTCAATTCTTTGGTTTTATTCTCTCCCTGTATCAGTATATTTCTTAGCCTAAAAATAAGAAGCATTTTCAGTTTTTACTTAGTTTAAAACTGACGTAGAAAAACAAAGTGGTTTTCCATTAAAAGCCTTGAGGACAGATTGAGGAGGAGAATTCACATCAACAGAATTTTGCAATGAATTTTCGCAAAAAGAATTGAATTAAAAGAGAGTTAACAGCAATATATACGTCAGAATAGAATGGAGTAGTATAAAGAAGAAATAGGACAACTGTTGAAATGGCCAGAAATATGTTAAAAGGTAAGCATCTTTCCAATAAATTTTGGGTTGAAGTTGTTTATATTGCTATCTATATCCTTAATAAGTTTCCTACTAAATCTCTTCAAAATAAAACACCTTTTGAGGCCTGATACAAAAGAAAACCAAACGTAAATTATTTCAAGGTTTTTGGTTGTATTCCTTATGAAAAAAGAACTTCCCAAAATATAGAAAAATTTGATGAAAAAGGCGAAAAGTATATCTTTATTGGTTATAGTGAAGTTTCAAAAGCATATCATCTTTTTAATCCAAAAACAAACAAATTAGTAATTTCTTGAGATTTTGTATTTGATGAGAAAAGTGAATGGAAATGGGAAGAAATATCTGGCCAAGAACCAATAGAAATAATAAAAGAACAAGAAAATACTCCACAAGAAAGGGCAAGCTCTCAACTACCAAGCTCGATATCAAGCCCAAGAACACCATCTCCAAGAGAACCAAGTCAAGAGTCATTCGACTCAGAGACACCACTAGGAAAGGTACGTTCACTAAGAGCAATTTACGAATCATGTGATATTTCCTTTTTGGCCACTGAGCCAGAAAAATTTGAAGAAGCTATAAGAAAAGAATAATGGATAAAAGCCATGCATGAAGATATTGCAATAATAGAGAAAAATCAAACATGGGAGCTAATGGACTGAACCGAGAACAAAGAAGTCATAGAATTAGAATGGGTCTACAAGACAAAATATAATGAAAGATGGCTCAATTAAAAGACACAAGGCCCGGTTGGTGGCAAAAAGCTATGCTCAACAACTAGGAATTGACTATACTGAAACTTTTGCCCCAGTTGCATACATAGAAACTATTAGAACTGTCTTGGCATTAGTTGCGCAAATGAGGTTGCTAGTATTTCAGTTATATGTATATAACAAAATAATTATGCAAATGACCTTGTGAGACCCTCTCACACCGATGTGTGTAGGACCTCAAAGGATCACAATTAAATTTGGTACGGATCTCTAGAAAAATCAAAGTCCCACACCCATGTGATAACCTTTCTAAAGATTTGTGCCAAATTTAATGGTCATCATTTGGGGTCCTACACACAAGGGTGTGGGAGGGTCTCAAAGGATCATTACTCTTACCCAAATTTTTTATAGGTAGAGCTATAAAGATAACCCTTCCAAAATTTTCTTTACATGCGTAGAACTTTTTGTCATTTTTTTTCTTCTTAATTTCCAATTACTTCAAAACATCAATATCCAAAGTCACAAAGTGATTTTCTGACCTTAGTCTTGAAGATCCAAATTCAAGCTCACATAACCCTTTTCACCTTGATCCCTTTATTTCTTCTTCCCCCCTCATTTTGTCACTACTTTGGATCTTCAATTTTCAAAGTCCCTTATGACTTCAGATCTCGAAAATGTGAAGTCATATGGGATACGACATTGTATCTTGAAGATTCAAAGTAGTATATATGGGACATAAATTCGGATCTTCAATATCCAAAGCCATAACTTTAGCTTTTCAAAATCCAAAGTGACTTCAAATTTATGGACAAATGGGCCATGACTTCTATTCAAAATCTAAAGACAAAAAATGATCTAGTTACTTAAGATCTTGAAAATCTAAAGTAGTGACAATCTGGGGAAAAATATGACAAAAGTTAACCTTGTAAAAAAAATAGTATCAGACAGTACTTTTTAGTAAAAATAATTATGGGGGATATTAGTGTTAATTAATCTTTTTTCCAATAGCATATGAACCCCAAACTTCCCTAGCCCTAGAAATATTGGGACTAGGTAGTTTTGCTTCCTGTAGGACCAAAATCATCGGTTTATACATAAAAACTAAGAAAAGAATATCCCTTTTCCTAATCGGGTCACCTAAGCCCTTGACATTCCAAGATAACAAATTCACTTAAAAACTACAAGGGGGAGGGTTAGAGGAGGATCCTGGTCCATAGGGCCCAGTGCAAAAATACATCTCCTCCAACAATAAGGCCTCATTGAGCTAGTCATCACTAGAAGACGAAGTTGACGAAGATGAGTCCAGATCCACCACCATTGAATCACAAAGTGAAATAGCTGTAGTAGATGAACCACCTTTTGGGATGCCAAGGGCCTCTTGTCTAGCAGATGAATAGACACCTCTTTGAAACATCTTGTTCTTTTTGGCAGAAGAAGCACCTTTGACAAGAGTCTTGGAAGCTGCAACAATATGCTTGACTGGGTTTTTGCCAAACTCTCGAACAATCTCTTCCCCCTTGTCAGCAGCAATCCTAGCCATTATGTGCTTCTTTATGTCCTTCATCACCACACTTAGAGGAACATCATCCATCCCCATGTCATCCATCTTCTTCGCCACCATAGGAGACTAATTCACCGGTATCTCCTTAGCGCAGGGCCCCAAGATGGGCAGAGGAAGAGCCTTCAATTGAGGTGAGACGTTCAAAGGCAGAGCCACAGAAGACTCAGTCAAAGCCATATCCTTGTATTTTCCTCTATCCAAATTGTAACATTTACCTATTTTTCTTTATCTAATAGCCCCATCATGTAATTAGAAATTAAAATGTCTCTTTTGGCCTATTTGTGAGGTTCACATGATGAGAAAGAGATAAGAGGGTTGAAGGATGTTGATAGAGAGAGAGAGACAGAGAGAGGAAGAAGTTTACAGGTGAGCATGAGAAAAAGAAAGGGGGAGCTTTTTTAGAGTTTGTATGAAGGGTTACTAGAAAAAGTAAAATGGATGAACACTAAAATTTTAACAATAAAAAGAGTGCAAAGCGGATTAAACATTCTTTTCTTTTAACTTGGAGGGGTCCATAGGTTTTCGGTCGACTGAGGGGGCTATCTAGGATTTGATTTTAGGCAAGGGGGTATGCATCTTTTTATCTTTTTCATATCCTATTAGAATCATGTTAGAATCAAAAGAGAGTATTTTTATAAAATAGAAAGGAAAAAACAATTGATGACTTTATAAACTCCTAGTTTTGATCATCCAAACAGATTCGACAGTTCTTGTTCAAACTTGGGAAATTTTTACGATACTATATAGGTTGTACATGACATTTGAATTGTTTTTTTTCTTCTTTACTCTAGATTGAGGAGGTCAAATCTTTAATAATTGAGTTCCTAAGGTATTAATAGACAGGGTTACAGATGGAAGTGAATGTATGACATGATGTTTCTCAAGAAAAAAGACAAGAAAAAAAAGAATGTATGAAATGACAATTCCCATTATGCAACTAATCACAGGTTCAACACTCGGAAGGGATTGCCTTAAGAGGGTAGGACATTGCCATTTGAACCCATCACTTGGTATCCTTCTCATTCCATGCAAGTTTAATCTCTTCATTGAGCGCGTCTACAATTTCTTTCAACTTCTCAAAATCAAATGCGATATCATTCATTTCTTCACTTGCAAAAAATTCTGATGGTCCTCGTACATGCCTTCGGATCTCTTTAAACTCCTCCCACAATTCTTTTGCACTATCATATTTCCCAAGAATAATATCTATCACAGCCTGATGAGTAAGCCATTTCGTTGTGAATATTTGAAGTTAATGATACACAAATTCAAAATATAAGAGATGGCTCAAGAAAGAGGAATATGGGGCCATGGATCAATTTAAACAAAAGGTATACAAAGAGACCAGTTACTTTTCATACAAAATCACAATTACTCTTGTCTCTCGGAGTATTATTGACTAGGCTAAAAGTTCAAAAAAAAAACTCTCGGAACTTTGTGACACACCCCAAGCATTCTAATTTGATATCTAGTGACTACGAATAATTGTGACCTCCCTGTCATAAAGATAGATGGTCTCATTGTATACAATCAATAATTTAAATTATGAGAGAGTTTTTGGAAAAATAGGTGGTCAATACTTGACGTTCAAATGGTTTCTAGCAGTTGACACTTATTAGATTTTGTCAACGTGATAGGCGAACATTTATCAGTATATTGTCGTTATATTGGGTTTCAAATTAAAACAAATATTACAATGTTCGATGAAGTTATGCAAGATATTGCAATAAAATATTACATGAAAATATTTATTATAGTTTTGTTATTTTATTAAAACACGAAGAAATACTTCTCCAATACCCTTCGGTTATTTCGTTGTATCATACAAATTTTAAAAGTACATTCACTATAATTAATTTTTTAAAATAACAGTATTAGCTGCATTAAGGCCTGTACGTACGTAATATTGTGTGACATCTGTATTATTGAATTACGTTAGATAGTGCAATTTATAGGGCCCCACCATATTTGGTGTGTCGGGCCCAACCAAAACTTATTCCTTTTCAAAAAGGTAATAATTTGGTTATATTGTCTAGCATTACTATATTATATTCCACAACGGCTCATACATGAGATAGATACTTGTACATTTTTTCTGGAGCCTTGCTCTCCACTAAATTATTTCTTCGATGTCTCACGGGCATCATGTTTGTTTCATCACCATTTATTGCATCTATATACGTGGTGACTTTTTCTTTTCTTTTTTTGAAATGATGATAAAAGAACTTTATGAGAAATTTATCAAAATACACCAAAGGTATAAACTATTCAATAATTTATCTTTTTTTTTCATTTGAATACAAATGCTCATAAAATAAATATGAGCTGAGAAGGGTTAAAGTATTAAATAGTTGAAAAGTGAAGTGCATAATGGTGAATATTTGATGTAACACTGAAAAGCTTTGCAAAAGCAGAATCTGTTAATGTTCGACCTATCTATCCAGACCATAGTTTGAAAAATTGCCCGATCTAACCGGTAACCGCCCGGTTAGATTGGAACCGGCCCTTTGCTGGTTTCGATTTTGGGCAGTTTTGGTGATTAGCCTGTATTTTAAAAATAAAAATTCAAAAAAATTATGTAAAATCTCAAAAATAAGGAATTTGATTTGTAATACATTTTTTAATATTTTTTACATTATGGTAAATATTAAAAATTGTTTTGGTCATTAATACTAACTTTTAAAATCCATTTTTCATTAATTTTCAACTCCATTTGAATGTTTTTTGTTTTAATCATTCTTTATATGTTTTTCATATTTTAGTAGATTTTTCTTTACATCTTTTTTATTTTTTTCAATAATTTTTTGGCCGTCCGGGACTTTGAACGGTTGAATCGGCCGATTTATCGGTTAGACTGGTTAAACCACTTCTAGCCCATGTTAACCGTTCTAGTTCGATTTTGCGAACACTGATTGAGACACCCTCCTAACCATGCTATTCACTACCCTATTCTTCTACCTATAATTATGGCAATAATTAATTTCTAAATCTCATATTGTGTTATCAACGTCGTCCATGATTGGCCGGATATTCCATGTGATTCGTTGCACTTGTGTCACTCTTCATGTCATTTGTTGCAGTTATGTTACTCTCTGAAGATCAATAACTAATGGGGAAACATTCTATGTGACCCAACGACATATAAGTTATATACAACCCAACTTCTTAACCATTCGATCTGAGTCGACAGCTACGATTGTTCATGCCACACAATATGACCCCAAATATTGTTTTATTTTTTATTTTTTCTACAAAACTGTTTTGGATGAAATTTTGGGCATCCATCATAAAATTAGGGTGAACCTAAAAATAATAATAAAACAATATTTTTCATAAAAATAAATGACTGAACTATCCTTGAAATTTTCAAGGGATTCGGGTATTTTTTCATTGCCAAAAGATTATTATTATAATTATTATCATGTGTGTCCCTGTCAGATCTATACATTCCTCAAATTTTGCTCCAAAATGATTTATAGAATAATAATTAAAAAAAAAGACTCTAACCCATCGGATCAAGATCTGACGGTTAAGAGCTACTTTGTGACATTATGACTCAAGCCATCTCAACCATTTACTCAGATTTAACGGCTGAAATCAAGAGTCACATATACTATATATGTAGGTGGGGACACATAGAAACATTTCACCCTAAATTTTATGTTTTCGATGCTCGTGCCTCCCTGAGCGAATTTTGCTTGGGTAGGGCTCATTGAGTAGACCACCCTGCAATAAAGGGTAGTGATCTCATGCAACGGTTGTATCCTAGTATAATGCAATAATCTTCAAAAACCATGTTAAGACCATTTGTTTGATCCAATTTTTAAATATACACTCTTTTCATTCTAATGAACAATCACAAAAAAGAAAAATTTGAAAACACAACCTAGAAAATATTTTTTTAGCCCATTTAATATAGGTCATCCATTTTGATAAGATACTTAGATCTAGGCCTTAAAAGGATTTTTTATTTGCTAATTTTTTTAGATGGCTTTATTATCATTAGATGAATAGTATTAATGAAGAAAAAGATAATTTTGAGTTTGTAAAGGCTAAGATATTGAAATTCACCAAATGAGTGGTCTAGATTCGTTGTTGGAGGGGGACTCATTTTGACCATATCTAAGGTCCAAATCGATTTTTTTTTTTTTAGATTCATTATTGAGATGAAGAGAGTGTGTGTGTAAAATTTTGGATCATACATATACCACAAACATAACTTTTAAGAAGTGTAGTTGCATTATATTATGATATAACTGTTGCACGAAATCGTTGCTCTGTTTCGTGAATCGATTATAAGATAAAAATTTCTATGATAGTAGGAACCATTTAGAGTTTACCACCCTTCCTTCTGTCGCGAATTATGCTCGTAGGAGGGAAGAGAGCCTTCACACATTTGGCCTGGCGCAAAACGACAAAGCACAAAAATACGACTAACCGACCCATATCCGAATTTTCCGTTCAATCAATTTGGTTAAATCCAAACTTCAGGAGTTTTATGTTCCAAAGATTTGGTAAAATAATGTACTTAACCTAGTAACTTCCAAAAAAAAAATAAAAAATAAAAAACCTCAATCCACTTGAGAAAATAGTCCAATTTTTTTGATGCTACGATCTAAGTCTTGGATAACTTAAAATCCAAATTTCATTTTCAAAATACTCGATTCTCAAGTGTTGTCCGGGGGGAGTATGCCATACACGCTCAAAATGATATGCTTGGAATAAAGCGCGAGTGAAAGCATTTACCATGTAGAGCGGTCGCCGAGCATCGGTTATTTCTTTGTCACCCAAGCACTTGCATTTTAATGCGTCATCAAATTTTCCCTAAAAATCAAAAAATTTACTTAATAAATTTAGATGCCAAAATATTACTGCATATAAACCAAAATCAAAATCTTCCATTTGAAAAGATGTGTTTGACAGAGAGATCATTACTTTCTCTATTACTAATAAGACTTCCTTTCAATTTCTTAATGTAAAGGTGAGTTTAGATAGACCAAATAGGTGCCTTCCTTTAAATTCCTTGATGTGAAGGTGAGTTTTATAGGCACCGATTTTGAAGTATGTTAGTTTTTCAAGATTTCTTGAACCCTAGGGATCACAACAACTTATTAGACTCTAGTGCCCCATATAAAAACATGCAGGCCCTCAATCCAATTATTTTTCCTATTTCTTTCTTCCATACTTCTCATTATCCAACCATCCATTCTGAATGGAGGGTTAAGATTGCCCCAATCACAATGTCATATCTCTACACTATTTTATTTTTAATATTTTTCTATAAACTATTTTGACACCAAAAATTGTACTTCAAACCCTCTATTAAACTCGCACTACAGAAAAATATAAAAACAATATTTCCAATAAAATAAAATGACCAAACTACCCATAAAAATTTTCAAGGGTATTTTGATCATTATATTTTATCGAAAACTTATTTTTAATATTTTTTATAGGTGCACCCCAATGAGAAGATGGCACGTACCAAATTTCATATCCATAAAATTTGTCTAAAAAACTAAAAATAAAATACTTTGAGACGTCAGATTTAAGATCAAATGGTTAGTTGCTCTCTTGATCAAAATTGGACAGCTGGATGGTAGGAAAAGCATAGATCTTCTATGCTGTAGGGGAAGTATAGAAACCTTTCCCATCAATAAATTACCTTCTTGTCTATTTCTCTTGGAGGCACCAATTTTTATCACGTTTCATACAGTATAGTCGGCAGCTTATTAATACAACGTGAACCATATTGGTTGATTAGAACTGCATAGACCTACCCATACCTAAAGCTAGAAAAAAAATGTTACTTTCCCCTATATCATCATCATAATTATCATCAAAGCCTTTTCCATGATGATGATTTTTCCATGATGATGATGATAATATTGGTTGATTGGAACTTCTCTCAATATGCAAAACAACAATTCATCACATATAACCATGCTGTAGTGTTTTGAGAACTGGAATACATATGTTCAATCTTGCGCAAATAAGGGTGGCAACGGGCTGAGCTTGGAATGGGCCAACCTTGGTCCTTATCCCCTATAGACCTGGCCCAAGCCTGGCAAGGACGGGGAAAAAATAAATGAACAAAAACGAAATAAAAACCAAGAAAAAAAGGCAGCCGGGCCAGTTCTAGCCCTACCCCAATCTTTAGGCCAAGCCAACCTTGGTCCTTATCCCCTATAGACCTGGCCCAAGCCTGGCAAGGATAGGGAAAAAATAAATGAACAAAAATAAAATAAAAACCAAGAAAAACAAGGCAGCCGGGCCAGTTCTAGCCCTAGCCCAGTCTTTAGGCCATAGTTTGTGACCCAGACCCTATTTTTTAGGGCTTGGACCCAGACCCTATTTCTTAGGGCTTGAACCCAGACCTTATATTTAAGGGCTGGGCCGCCCGGCCCATTGCCAGCCCTATCCGCGAATAACACTGCCTACAAAATCAAGTGGCAAAAGGTCGAGGTGTGGTATTAGATAGAGATGATGAGATAGGGGAAAGAGTGAGTGATTAGTACCTGATAAATAAGCATCTCAACAAGCAGCATTTCCAATTCATGAGCCTCATGTGGTTGATGCCGTTCCTCTGCCTTTCTAATTGCTGCTTGTAGCATATCTATTGCTTCCTCTTCATGTCCACTTATTTCCAATATTGAAGCTTCCCTCTAACGAAAGGCCACATGAATGAATAAGGGTGAGGTTTGTATAAGGTGTCAACCTTATCCTATTGAAGTAAGTTGCGCCTCAAAACTATGTCGAAAATGTACTTTCGATGCCACAAAGCCTTGCAATGATATGAAAATCTATTGCTGTCCCCAATTATGAAATTTAAAGTTCTAGAAATTGTGACAATCAAGCAGATCTATAAACACTTGAAAATCTTGAAAAGTCGATGGTCCGTATAATATGTTAAAAGATGAACTATTTATACGACTATAAATCCCCTACCTTTTTGATGTTTATGAATCTCAAGATGATCGAATTGATAATTTTCCAACATAGGAACAACTATCACCAGTGGTTTTTTTAGGTGCACCTTACCTGTACAGTATAAGGTTGAAACCTTATATAAACTTTTTCCCTAAATAAATAGCATAACAACATCATATTGTCGGTAATAATGGTGACAAATGTGTCAAGACTTGCTTCAGCGAGGGGACTTGTCCCCCTTGCCTAAGCAGGGTTCCTTGGCCAAGGCCGAGTCTAGCACAAGGCTTTCTGGTCCTTAAAAGACTAAAAAAGTATTAAAAATAAGGGAAAGTTTATAGAAGGTTGCGACCTTAAAATGTAGAATTACATATGCACCTCAAAAATCTATTGGAAAGGTTGTTTTAATGTTGAAAAACCTTCTAATTGATCATCTTGATATTAAGATGTATGAATATGAAAAAAAAAAAGTTTTTTAGTCTAAAAAATAGTGCATTTTGCAACACATTACCTAGACCGTCTATTTTCTAAGAATTTTTTACGACAAAATTACATATTATGATAAAATTTGGAGGTGCGCCTTAATTGGATTGTTTAAGGTTGCAACCTCAGACCTAAAACAACTTTAAAAACTTGAAACAAGTTTAAAATGTAGCAAAGAAATTGGAACTAAAAAAATTGACGTACAAATATAAATTTGCAAAAAAAAAAAAAAGGAGACTACACAAATTATGATTATTGCAAAAAAAAACTCTCAACCATCTTTGTCAAATACATCCAAATCATAAATTTTTAAAATTTATTTTGTATCTCATTGTACATCCAATTTAGAGAAACCCTGCCTCGCCCATAAGGTAAGGCTGAGTTACTCACCTGAGTTCGAGCCTAAGTTGGAGTGGAATTGGGTGAGGCTGGTAAATAAGATAAACGTCCTTGATGCATTTGATGTGCATTACTCTCCTACTCATCTCTCACAGGATGTTGGCTTCGACAACCCAGTGGTTATTTTCTTAGAAAATTGTGCACTCTATAGTATACGCCATTTTTGGTTCATTGGAAATTTCTCAACGGATCCAGAGTTTTCCGTTGGGAGAGCACAATCACATGGCGAAGTGCTTCTGTACCAAAAAAAGGTATGAAACTGATTTCTTATCAAAGTATACAGGCGGCTTGCTTTTGGCTTGTTGCAGTGTTTTCCATGCTATAGTGTCCAACGCTTTTCATTAAAACAATCATGAGAAAGCTATGGTCTGGCTGAAAAGTTCTCTCCTTAGAGAACTTTCCGGCGAAACACCTAAGAGCTTCTCTAATCGAAAGTAACTCCTAATCAGATCAATGGCAATTTACTCTGGATTTTCATCTAGCACAAGAATTCATCTCCATGGTCCATGTTAATTGGGGCCAGTAGAAACATTGGGGTGTATATATGCTACACGCATTATGAACTAACAACTAGAATGATCTATCTGGGATTAGGGATGCGATATAAATTTTTTTTTTTCTAAAAATTTAATCTTTTGTACAAAGATATCACCATTATCTCTACCAATCAAATGTGCAATTGGGCCTTTTTGTAAATGCGCAAAGAGTTGCCCAACTTTATATCTAATAGATATCTTAGTGTCCACGAAAGGTAGCAATTTCATTGCCTGAAAGAAATCTTGTGCAAAAAGAAAAAAGAAAAAAGAAAAAAAGAAAGAAAACCCCAAAATGCCCATAAGGACAACTTGTGATGACAATATAAAACCACAATTCCTCATGCGTATGAATTGATTGGAAATGGACTGTATAATATGATACATATTGTGATGAAAAGATCAAGGTTATCACCCTCCATGTTTGGGTTGACAATGATAACGGAGTGGGTCTCACCAAATAAAAAATTGTGGGTATGACTGATTCTCAGTTCATCACTATGCAACCCATTGATTTGATGATGATAATCTATAGAAACCTATGTAATGAGACATGTTGCTTTTGATATAAAGTTGTCAAAATCATTGTAGATTGATAGATTTGAAATTGAGGGGTTAAGAATGTGTCATTTTTTGGGGCGCAAAGTTCAAAATAAAACTTTTCGAGTACTGTAAGCACTTTCATCTAATGATTTCACATCCAACAGCTAAAGGTGATTGTGATCCCTGTAAATAAAAATAAAGGGTGAGGTTTGTATAGAGCTTAGGCTCTAAACAATCAAATTAGAGCCTACCTTCAAATAGTATCCAGAAATGTGGTTTCATTATTGAAAATCTTTGTGATAGCCTTAAAATATATTTTCATATTTATTTATAAAGTTCAAAGCTTAAAAAATAGTGTAGATCGATAGATCATTTGAAAATCTTAAAAATTGATGGTCTAAAAATGCGTTACAAAATACACTATTTCCAAAACTTGAAATCTATTTTTTTCTCATGTCCATGCATCTTGACGCCAAGATGATCAATTTGAAGATATTTGGGTATCAAAACAACCTCTTCTAGTGAACTTTTTGAGGAAGGCTCAAATTTGATTGTTTAGAGCCTCGGCTCTATATAAACTTTTCCCAAAAATAAATAATTTCACAATATATAATCCCTAATCTATATGGTCATCAGATTATAAGTTTCTTTTTTCTAGGACCTGCAACTCCGCAATTTTCGGTGGGTCTTCGGCTATGAGCTCTCGGAACCTATGCTCGGCACTTGCTAGTTGGCAAGGATCTACCCGTGCTCTCTGAGCATCAACCATCCTGAGCAGAGCCACATTGCCACCTCTCAATGATGCCAAGGAAAGACTCCTCTGGAACTTGATTTGATAACTTCCTTTCTTCACCTTTGGCTTCTTGGCCCTATTTGTAAGCTTGAGAAACAGCAGAATACCAGCCAATGTGATGACAAAAAGATCAATAGCTTTTCGACTGAAGCCAAGGCTCATACTGCTCCTTGCTGTATCAGAAGCCCATGAAAACCAGCTCAAAGAAGTTGAAGAGGAATGAGCCTGGCTCATAATGGATGAAGGATTGTGGGACATGATAAATTCTTTGGGGAGCACTTCTGTGTAATTAGAATGCAAGTGATTGTTGTTGTGAGGAACTTGTATAGGTAAGAGCCATTTCTTTGTGTGGAAGGATCGAATATCACTTTTGTTTTTCCAATTTGACGAGGCTGCATAGGTTAAGGGGAGAGGCACCAACTTTTGTAAAAGAGATGGGACTTGCCTCTCGATTGCGGTAGGCATAATTCTTCCCTCTTCTATTCTTTTATCTCCTTTTTTTTATTATTTATGTTTTTTCTATTTTTTTTAATTTAATCCGGAAGTTTGAAAGTTGAGCAAGTTTAAATTATTGAAATATCAGGAACTCATTAGGTGGTCAAATAATGCAAAGTTGCATTATAGGGTTATTTCATATAATCCTTTACACCTCAAAAATATTTTTTAAAAGTGCTAAAATAGCTCATATTCAATGATGGGAATGCTAATATTGATACCCATAGTTGCTCACTTTTAGAAAACCAGAAATAGGATTCCCATAGAAAAAAACGACACTCCGAGTAGCTATTACTAAACTAGCTATTACTAAACAAGCCAAGATTGTCTTTATGTCATTTTGCCTAAGTGACTTAAGTACAACAAAATTACTGAAGTATCCCTTCTTATTCTAGAGTTTGCTGATAGTTGGACAATGTGATCAAGCACGATATATATAAATTAAATTTTTTCTTATCTCTTATTCTTACACCTGCAACACCACTCACAATGTCTAATTACAAATAAATAGCTCTTGAAACAAATAAATAATAACAACAAGGAAAAACGATTATTCACTTGCTACCACTATTTAATACAACTTTTTAAATCAAAACCTTAACACATTGCTTTATGGGAATAGAAGAGCTTCATACAAAGTAAAATTTAAAGAAATAAAATTGCCAGAGATTACTTCAACCTGGCTTAGTACACCCCACGTCGAGTCTCTTCCTTTCGATGGTACTCGTGATCTATGATCGGTCTTTTGATTCTCCTACTTATGGTAAAACCTTCTCAACGGTATATGGATCTCGATCTAGAATCAACTACCTAAAGCCTCAATACCTTAGTTTTACTCAAACCTCCTTTGCTTAATCTTTAAGGAGATGAGAGATGAAAATCAAAGAGATAGGAAGAGATTTATTAGCTAGGGATCCTCCCTTTTACTACTCAATATCAAAACCACCACCCTAGTGCCAACAAGAAA